GAGGTGAGGGCGGGCCAAGGCTTAGCCGTCCTAGAGACGGACACGGAGACGGATTCGGTGTGACCGCCGTACAAGCCCAGCGTGGCTAACAGGACTAGGTGCAAAGTGTTTCAAGTGACGGCCACGATTGTCAAGGCTGACGGTTCTGGGGATTATTCGAAGGCTGTGGAAGAAATTGACTCTCAAAAGTAGGTTAACTAGATAATGTAAGCTATCCTTCTAGACTGATGAACCAAATTCCTTGATGACGCTTCTCGGCTCCTCATATGCCTCCCCAACATACACCGGCTCCATGTCCAGCCCAAAGCCCTCCGGTCCCCCAATCGCCAGTGCTTTTCCCGTTTTCCACAAGGGATGCGCTGGCAGCGCAATCACACTGACTCGAAGACCATAGCGCAGGTCCTGCGAGCCAATCGCCTCGCCGTCTTGGCCGAGGATGGAGATGAAGTCGGGCACGGTGCATACCACCTGCTTCGATTCCTTAGACCCCGTGGCGTCACACAGAGCCGCATATAGGTACTCGTTTTGGAATGGAATCATCATGTGCTTGCCATTAGTAGTGGCATCTCCGTTTGTTTCCGCGGTGCTTGTCTCGTTTGTGTCGTCGTCGTCGTCGCTGGGGGCGAGAACGACGGCGCCTATGGTGCAGCCCCCGCTGACATGTTGTTGGACGTCGACGATTTTGGCTACAAAAAACAGCTTGCCAGCGCAAATCTCAAAGTTTTCAGACAGTGTTAGCAAGGGATTGTGTGATATACTAAGCACAGAACAGGCTACTCAGAGGAGATGCGCTTAAGTAACAGCACTAGGCTTGCGCTTGTTCCCCTTCGGATCCAGTGAGCGCTCGTGTCCTTAAACTCATAAAGTGACCAAAATGTATATGTAATTATAAAAATAAAAAATGTACCGTTTAAATTAACATGATCCAACCTCTAGCGCGAGGTAACAAATAGCTACTGCAGCATTAGACCACCAGCTTAACCCTCCAGCTTAGGCGCCTCAACGAGGTGGTGCGCGCGCCAGGCAATATCCTGCACTTCTGGGTTGGATGTCTTATCAACAGTATGCGAGATGAAGGTGGGAGCAGAGCCAGGAACAGGGCGGGATTGAGCAAAGCTCTGAGCGCTGCTGGTGCGTTTGATGCCGCCCCAGTTGCAGTCGGCGTTGTGAAACCCAGACTGGGCAGCAGCCTTCCAGACCTCCTGAATGTCGTCAATCATGGGTTTGGTCCAAAAGCGGCGACAGTCGGCGTATTCGGCGACAAATTGGGAGGGGGTGCCGTCGTCAAGGTGGTCGCGGACTATCTGGTCGCGGACATTGACAGAACCAGCAATACGGAAAGGAGTGATGTCGGTGTACTTGGCGAGGATAGCCTTGGTGGCAGCGTCGTCAGTCCAGTTGCTGGCCCTAGAGGTAAACCACAAAATGTCGCTGTACTTGTAGACCTGAGATCCTTTGACACCACCAATAGTCTGTTGAGGACCGGCCCGGGGGCGGCCACCAAAAACAACGGACTTTACGCCAGCATTGAGCCGGAAGAGCTCAGAGGTAATGGAGCAAGTGGAAGCGCAGTCGCCATCGTACAGGAGAATGACATCCTCGGCGTTGTAGTACTTGGTAGCATTCTTGCGAGACCGGTAGCCGGTGATGTCGATACCAATACCAAAAGTAGCGTTGGCGGTAGTCAGAGGGTCGGACCAGTTCCAGGCCATGAGGTTGGAGTAGGGAGTGTTCTTGTAAACGTGAGGCGCAAACTTGTCATTGTAAGAGACAAAGTTGCCAAAGGTCGTGTTGACGTCGTAGCGCCAGTTCAGCTCTGACTGCTGGACGTTGATCAAGTCGGAATCATTGCTATTGGCTGGGTCGAAGCCCTCCAGCTTATCGCTGATGGTCTTGGCGAGGGCGACGAAGCCGTCAGACTCCTTCCAGCGGGAAAAGCCATCCTCGTGGATGTCGGGGAAAACCTGCTTAAACAGCTCATAGCCGAGGGCAATATAACCACCACCGTTTCCTTGCAAATCAATGACAAGCTTCGTCTTGCCAGCCTGCGCCGCGCCAGCCAGGAAGTCTTGGATGACGGACTGGAATTCGACGGTGCTCTTAGGCTCGAAGCTGTTCAGGGCCAAGACAGCGACGTTGTCAACACCCGCACCTTGGAGGTAGTAGCCGGTGACCACGTTGTCGTTGGTGCGGACAACGGGCTTGGGGTAGCCGGTCAGAGGGGGTTCAGGATCGTTCGGGTCCGGCTGAGAGGGAGGGGCAGGGGGGAGAGGCTGGCAGAACTTTTGGTAGAAGGAAGCGCCGTCGGTCACACCGGCCAGGTTGCCGTTTACGCGGGCAGGCATAGGAAGGGTGGTGCTTGTTCCATTGGCGAAGCCAAATGTGATGTCGGGGCCACGGTAGAGGGGGCTGGAGCGAGCAGCGCTGCCAAACTGGCCCTTGAGGGCGAATGGTGCACGACTGGCCTGGTAGAAGAAGGTGTTGTAGGCAGTGTCGACGTCCTGGCTGTAGGTGCCGCTCCTGGCGAGCTCCTCGATGAACTCGGAGGCGTCTTGTCCGTTTATGGTCAGAAGGACGGAGGCAGCCTCGGAGTCAAGGTTATAATCCTCTTCATGGTGTTAGCACAGGAATGATGATGTGGCGAGGGAGCAGCTTACCAAGAATCTTAATGACGGGGAGAGCTACGCCGTCCTCGCTGTAGGAGACAACACCACGAGGAGAGCGGAAGCTGAAGACGCTCATGGAGTCGGCCGTCAGCCAAAAGTGGCCATCGACGCCAGGAAAGTAAATCTTTTGCTGGATGTCCTTCTGGAACTCGTACTCGCCAGAGTACTTGCCCGCATCCACCTTGCTCATTACCTCCTTGAATCCCGCGAACAAGTCATAAGGGGAGTATTCGTAGTCTGTGGGGGGGTCCTTGAGATAGGCCGCGTCACTCTGCCAGTCAAGGTATGGCTCCAGCGCCTTCAAGATGCCGGCGGCACGCTCCTTGTTGAAAGGCACCGATTGGAGGCAGTCGTGGGCGAGGGAGGCGGCAATGGAGGGGACAGCGTCTAACGGGCCATTAGCGGTCTTGCAAAGGTCAGAGCCCGAGACGCCTGCTAAAGCCCAATTGCGGCATTGCGGCGCAACGAAACTTACTGGGACTGGCGGAAACGCGGCTGGCCCAGTCGGCGCTTGCCAAGGCGCAAGGCTCGGCGGTCTTGGTGGGAGCAGCGGTGGTGGTGCTGGTGGCAGATGGGAGACAAGCGCAGGCGCTCGAGATGCGCTCGTTCATCTTGCCATTCTGATTGTCCTGGCAGCCGCTGGCGGCGTACGTCGGAACAGGCACATTCGTGGCGCCAGCAGCCGTGTAAGACGAGCAAAAGGCTCTGGCGGACTCGACACGGCTAGGGACCTGCGTGGCACGGAGGGCACGTAGACAATTGTCGGCATTGCACTTGGCAGGCGTAGCGGCAGCATTTGCGGTGGTGAGGACCGCCGTAGCAGCAACGACGGAGGTGGTGAAGCGCATGGCGAAGACTTCTCTTGTGCAGCAACTGCGGTCAAAGCAATTGAGGCGCACCAGCCAGTATAGCATGCGACCGACCATGCCATCTTATACTCCGCATCAAGTGCTGCCAGCTTACTCACTTACTGGTGCTCGCTGGTCTATTCCCAGGTGAGGTCTGTATCAAACTACCAATAGCGCATAGCCTCTTTCCTCAATAGGAAGGCCAATGTGCCGTTAAGCCAACCGGGCTTGCCGGGCCACAATTAGGAGCACAAATCCCCTGGATTTTCTCCACTTGCGCTGATAGCACGAGCTGGTCTAATAGTGGGCGGTCGTATACAGAGCCATTGAGGTAGTTAAAGGATAGGCTATTCGCACAGCCATTCCGTAACGGGAAGGCCATGGTGTGCAGAGGCGCAAGAAACGGGCAGTGGCCATAAAAGTGCGTAAAATGAAGAGTACAGTAGTGAGCTGAGCTTCTGAGTTGTGGCTGTTTCTTCCGTTTTATTCTGTCAAGTAAACTCTGTCTAGTGCGTTTAGTGACTAATAAGCTAAACAAAAACTTTTGCAAAGAAGCTCATTCTAGTGAGTGCCTCTAAATGTAGGATGTGTTTTGGTAAACGTTATTAAATGCCGTACACGCACACAGCTAATTAGAAGCCGCTATTCGTGCTCCATTAGCGTTAGAATTTGGCGTTGGAATTAGCCAGTAAAAACAACACGACAATTGAGAAATTGACCTCCAACGAGAGCCTCTCGCGAAGTCTCCCGTGGAGCTTTTTACAAAGGCACAAAGCCTGCCTCTCACAGAGCCTCTCGCAGACCTTGCCGACGCCGCCGGCGCTAAGGCAGCTAGCAATTAGGAGGACTGTCACGAGTCCGGCACCCGGTTCGTCGTCATGCCTGACTCACTATGATATATCGTGGGATGTGCCCGTCCCATTTCAGCCTTGACAATGGGTACTCCTGCCGCTACCTGGCTCACTTGTTAGCTGAAACAGGTCCGCGGTCGCGCGATTGGCTGGCAAGGTGGAAGCTATTTCCACACGGTCAACCTATTCCCTACTAATAGCAGTATTATATCTTTATAGAACTTATAATTCAAAGTTTTTCTTAAGTATCTATATAAAGGATGAATACTCCAAGTTATATATAAAGTCTGGCTAAATACTACTATATTAAAAATAAAATAATGTATTTTACCCTAAAAAGTCTAGTACAAGTAGTAGGCACTAAGAGTTCTGGGCCCAAAGAGGTAATGAAAACGGTTCTAAATCATCCCACGTCCAATCTTCTATCCAACCCGTGAAATCTGCTTGGTTGTCATCTAATGTGCCCGACTGATCGCTCTGATCGCTCATCTCTACACCTTCTCGTCTGGCCACGGCTCTCAACTCCTGCAAACACCTGGTGGCAGACTTGACAGCCCCATCCATCGTATATCGCACTTTCGTTGCGGTGCGCTAGTGACTCTTCCAGGCGATTTGAGGAATTTGCAAGTGACAAAATGGCATTAGCAGCATCTCCTGTGGCGGCGTGCCTCGCTGGCAGTCGGGTGGGCGAGGACGGCCCGCTGAGATTTGCTTCCGCTTTGGGCCAATACGCTAGCACTTGCCTAGGTGTGTATGTGCATCTCAAAGCAGGCACCTTCTAGCAGTGACCGCAGGGAAAACCACGGTCGCAGCGAATCTTGCGTTGGCGGCACTGCTCGCAGGCAAGTGGCGGTCGCCTATGTCTCTTTACCGAACCTGTCTGCGACTAATCTGCCATGGCTATCGATACAAGTCAGCTGTCAATACAAGTCCAGCATGACGTGTCACGACGACAAAATGAAGAGGTAGAATCATTCGGTGGGAGGTTCTGATCGGTCACCGAATTGACCGATTGTGGGGCCGAAAATGCCGAAAGGGCAGTGTCCGCAAATACCGAAGCCGGAATGCGCCAAGCACGTCGAACACAAGCCTCCAATAAGAGCCTCCGGATATAGCCGAGACCCAGTCAAGCTATTCAACTAAGCAGGTGGACATGCGGTGGGACTCTGTCATGGCTCGGACAGCCATGATGCAGCTCAGCTGTTGATGGCCCTTCAACGTAAACCTCAAGAGGTAATTCAGGGTCATTAGTAGCGGTAATAACAAACGCTGGGCTACCTCGGAGCCGAGCCGAGCTCTTAGCTAACTCTTATCCGCGACTATAATGGATGCCGAGCCGCGTGGCAACAGTCCTTGTCGACTCCCGAGGCACAGCCAAGCCCATGAAATGAAATATCCGAAGGAAAATGCATTGCGGGCAGCTTATGTGGACTACCGCGTGTTAATAGCTATTTAATATGTTCTTTGACTGTCCGAATCGTTTCAACTAGGCTTTCCTATCTATAGTACGTTACCTACGATTCAGTACCAACTTATACTCCAATTCACTCTACCAACTTATACTCAAATCATCAAGCAAGCTTCAACCAACAGCAGCAGCGTGACCATTGATGCCCTCATCGTCGGTGGTGGGTTTGCCGGAATTGGCCAAGCTTATGCCTTGCGCAACCTTGGCCTGTCTATCAAGCTAATCGACTCACTCCACGATGTGGGAGGAACATGGCGCTCCAACATTTATCCCGGTGCCACCAGCGATCCTGAAAGCTTCGTGTACCGACTTTTCTGGGACAAGGAAGACTTGCAATCTTATCCCTGGACCCGTCGGTACCTGCGACAGCCTGAAATTCTTGCTTACCTGGAGCATTTCGTCGAAAAGCACGGCCTCCGCAAGCAAATGCAGTTCAACACGGAATTATTATCGGCCGCCTGGGACGACGATGCCGCCACCTGGGAAATTAAGACAAACACGGGAGAGACATACTCTGCACCCTATTTCATTTCTGCCATGGGTGATCTGAGCAAGGCACATCGACCCAGCATCCCAGGGGCATCCTCATTTGGCGGGGTCCTCGTGCACTCGTCTCACTGGCCTGACACCCTCAATGTCACTGACAAGCGCGTCGGTGTTGTGGGCTGCGGCGCGAGCGGAGTCCAGATCATGACCACCATCGCGCCTAAAGTATTGTCACTGACAGGCTTCTTCCGCCACCCACAGTACGTGGTACCCAGCAACGACAGGGAAGTCACCGTGAAGCATAGGGAGTGGGTCAATGAGAACTATGATGTGATCTGGGACCAGGACCAGAACTCTTTCATGGGCTTTGGCTTTACCGAGTCCCCTATTCCTTTCTTTTCCGTCGATCCCACACGCCGCGAGCAGCTTTTGCAAGACTCTTGGAGTAACGGAAATAGGATGAGGTTCCTGGCGGAGCATTTTTGCGACATTGGAACGAACAGAGAAGCAAATGAGGAGGTCTGTCGCTTCATCTGTGACAAAATCCGTCGGACGGTCAAGGACCCGAAAAAGGCGCAAAAGTTGATTCCGAATGAGCTCTTTGCTCGTCGTCCTATTTGCATGGATGGCTACTACGAGATGCACAATCGAGACAACGTGGAGGTTGTGGATTTGAGAAGGACTCCGATCGCCGAAATCACTCCTGTTGGGATTCGCACCGACGATGGAACAGTCTATGAGCTCGACGTCATCATCCTTGCAACCGGGTTCGATGCCATCGACGGCAATCTCATGAAGGCAGACATTCGCAGTCGTGGCAGGTTACTTCGAGACTCGTGGGCAGATGGCCCACGGTCTTACATTGGTGCCTTTGCCGCAGGCTTCCCCAACATGTTCATGGTCAATGGCCTGTTGGGAGCAGTCGCAAACGTGGTGCCCGCAATAGAAGCCAGTATTGAGGTGATTACGAATGCTATCGAGCAAGCGGAAGCCGTTAGGAAGTCTAGGGCACCAACGCCATTGTGGAAGCTACAGTCGAAGCCGAAGATGAGTGGATCAAAAAGTGCAGAGCGACAGCCTAAGGGAATCTTATGAGCGAAGTGAAAGACTCGTGGTTCTCGGGAGGGAACATCCCAGGCAAGGTTGTTGCGGTGAGGGCTTTCTTTGGTGGATTGGGAAACTTTCGCGATTTCGGGAACCATGCAACGAAGGAGTCTTGGAGCGGATTCAAGTCTTGGTGACTTAAGCTGAGCTCATGCGCTGGCGCGGCCGTTGAGGTGCATCCGTGGTAGCCACGACGGAACATGCATGTTACGGCGCGCAGATAGAAGCACGCGACGATGGAAGACTTTGTATCCTAGAATGGTCTGTTGCGAGAAAGACAATGGTAACGATAGGGTAACGATGGGCGAGATTAGGTTCGAAGTGAAAAGGGTTGAAGTAGATATGCGGAATATGACTGATTGTGCCACACGTGGCTGGTTGCACTACTCTTCTCCGCTTATTTTACAAGATAAAATAATTATCGCGTATTATTTCACAACATAAAAATCTAGACCTAATCACGTCGTATCAAATTGGCCATTACATCCCCCCCCAAATAGACTCGTTGGTATCATCCCCTACGACTGCTATCTTGTTGTTCAAGTCGGAAGAAAGACGAAGAACCACCATGCTATTAATCTTGAACCTCGTCGTTTCTACCGTGTCAGCTAGCGCCGGCGCCATCGCCACATACAATCCCTCGGCGCTATCTCGCTCGGCGAGGTCTTCTACCAACGCATGTATACCGCGCGCGCGCTAGCTTGGGAGCTTTTGACTGGAGTGCTACCATTTTTCTGGGGTGGTCCAGCTACAGCGGCGATTGTTGGCACTTCGGCGGCCGTGCAGCTCGCTGATGCGGTGATTGGTCTGGGCAGAGGAGATGCCGGTATGGCTACTGGAGCGTTTCTCGCAGCCAGCGTGCACGTATTGTGCTGCATGTCTATCGTTTGAGTGGGCAGCTTTTTTAGCAGTGAAACTCCCAGGCGCGGCTCTTGATCTTTGTTTTAGGTTGCGGTGCGTGATGTGCTGGTCTATTTAGATAATACGTGATAACAATTTCAACGGAGAAGCAAGTTATTAATGTTGGGGTGGTATTGGGGCAGTCTGGGTCATACGTTAAGCAGGAAAGTGACACTTGAATGTACTTCGAGGAATGTGTGTGTGTGTGTGTGTGTAATTAACGCCTTTTACTGCGCCCTAGAGTAGGCTTTAAGACGTACTATCGAGCTATCAACAGACTCTTATTATATGATTGCACTAAGTAGGTTTCTATAGAATCTAGTAAGTCGAGCTTATCCTCTCACTAGAATACCCTTAGGGAATTCCCCCACATAACCGTCCCCTAGCTGTAGTAGTTTCGCGCCTAAAGGTAAATAGTTATCGTTATTAATATACCCGTCAGCGGGATCACGATAATGTTTTTGTTAAACTCTTCGGTTTTTATAGTTAGAATTCTCTCGCTCTCGCGCTAACACTACTACTGCAGTCTATCGTCTAGTAACCGAGCGATAGAAATAGCGCAGGAGCAGCGGCCGGGAAAAAACCCTTAGGAAGAAATCAGAGGCTGTCGCGCAGCTTATCTTTAGGTAGGGAGAAAAAACCGCCACAACTAGCCACCGTTGTTTAGAAGAGGATATCTTCTAATACCTATAGTTCCTTAGTTCTATAGGAAGCCATAAGGTCCACGTGGATAAATACTTAAGGCCGGCTTCTAAAGGATGATGAACTGCTCTAAAGGTCATCCCTTAGGCTGTTAGTGCGACGATAGGCTCTAGCAGTAAAAAGCGCGGTAAGTGGCCTGAAAATCTGGCCCCACTAACGAACCACTAATAGCTCGAAGGGAGGAAAAGTTTTTATAGGGGAGAGTTATATACTTCGAGGAAGGGAATTAGTTTGGCGACATCCAGGGTAGCAGCCTTCTAAGCTGAAGAGAGCGACTAAATATAAGCAGAGTAAGGTTGCGTGATATAATGTAGCATTTAGATTATGCTTGCCTCTGGAGTATATATCTTTGAGGTCAGTATTGTTGAATATTATTAACAGTATCATCTCTAGGCTGAGTCACCGTACGGGCCGGGTTGAGTAGACTAGCACTCACAAACGCATAGCCCGCCATAGAAATTCTGATGTTGTGATAAGCCACCTAGGCTACTCCAGCCCATCTTTTCTGTCTGTAGAATTTAGACACTAATAGGTTATAGAAAAAAAGAATATTAATAACATTATATTAATTCTATATTCTATATTCTATAATAAAGTACTAGACTCTAAAATATTAAATTATATACTAATTAATAAATTTAGCTAGAAATTTATAAAGATTATTCTTTTTTAGTATTATTATTATATGTACTATAGGGCGTTTATAGACTTATAAATACTAACTGTAGTGCCTGTAACAAGCTGGATGGTAGAGCCTGGAGACAACGGTTACTAAGGGATCCATACTCTCCGTCGACTGCCCAGTGTATATGCGTTTGTTTAGACTTGCATACGGCGACCTGTTTCAACATCTACAGCCTCTCTTTTTTTCTTCTGTCTTGCCCTATGCTAATCAACTTCTACCCCATGGCATTCAGCGAGACGAAATAGCCATCTCCAATGCATGGACGCGCATCTCCTCGGCACCTTCTCCGGCCCGGAACATCTCCACACACACCAATTTACCCACAAGGCGTCGTCTATTTGCCTAGTCGCCCAACTAGGCCCTCGCGCGCCCGAAAGCATGTTTGCCGAGCGCTGGCACAACGACAACCGGCTCCTTTACTCCGGCAACATCTCCTCTCTCGCCATCTTCGCCCTGTTACCAGGTGAATCAAGCCGACGAGCCTGCCGCCGCGCTTCTCAGCCTGTCGGCACGCAGGACCTCGTCAATACGCCAGCCAAACCCCTCCTCAGCTGGTGACGGCCAGGCAGACCCCTCCAGTCATACAAACAGAATACCCCGCCCCCGCGTTGGTGCATCTCGCGACTGAGATACGGGGTTTCTCCTCACCATTTCATCCCTGTGCTGAGAAAACTACACACTAGAAATAGTAGCTCTCATGTCGGCTAAATGACGACCGAATCTACTCCTGAGCTAGCGCCTGTGTCCGTGATGGACACGGCGCAGAGCGAGCCGTCGTTGCACGTCGACAGTGAGTCGGCGCAAGATGTCTCTTTGCCTGTGCCGGGGCGTCCGTCTCTGACGACCAATGTGTGAGTGAAACAGACAGTATATATTAATCAATACTTATAGCTTCCCTGCAGATCGGATCCCCCCCACCTGCAAGATTTCCAAAGCCCGGCGAGGCAGCACAAGCGACAGCCAAGCGCCCACCATGAGGTCAAGGTATGTACACAGCGCATCAGACCCTTGTACGTATGCTGATCACTCAGGAAACTCTGGATGCTCGCGTGGAATATGCCGGCGATAATTATGACAGCAGTACCTATCACAAAATTAACCAGTACACCATCGTTGAGGAGGTCGGGCGTGGGTCGTACGGCGCCGTCCATTTGGCGACTGACCAGTTTGGTAATGAATTTGTAAGTCGCCTTTGCTCCTTCCAGGTCACTGCCCGCTGACAAGCTTAGGCCGTTAAGGAGATCTCCAAATCACGTCTGCGCAAGCGTGCGCAGTCCCAAATCCTGCGCCGTAGCCCTCAAGACCGTCCCAGACGGCAGCCCCTGCGGACTCGCAGCGACGGCAAGGTCCTGACGCCGCAGCTTGGTGGTGAGCAGCCCGGCGGCGAGCAGCCCGGCGAAAAGGGGGATATCTTGCATCTCATTAGAAAAGAGGTCGCTATCATGAAGAAGTTGCACCACCCCAACCTCGTCCAGCTTATTGAGGTGCTGGACGACCCTCAGGAGGACTTACTTTATATGGTTCTTGAACTGTGCAAGAAGGGAGTTGCTATGAGGGTTGGTCTTGACGATCACGCAAATCGATATAGCGACACCGTATGCCGCTATTACTTTCGCGATCTTATACTCGCTATTGAATACTGTGAGTCAGTGGTTATCCTTATATATAAGTAAGCCTTACTAACCTAATTAAACTAATAGTGCACTCACAATCTATTATCCACTGTGATATTAAGCCCGATAATTTTCTCGTTACAGAAGACGATACTCTTAAAGTTATTGGCTTTAAAGTTTTAGAAATGTTTGATAAGCCTAGTGGCATGAAGAGTAAAACGTCGGCTGGATCACCCGCATTCCTAGCACCGGAGCTGTGCAGCCCGCATAGAGAGGTCTCTAGCACTGCTGCTGATGTCTGGTCTATGGGTGTTTGCTTGTACTGCTTTCGATATGGCCGGATTCCTTTTAATCGCCCGAGCGTGCTGGATATGTACCACGCGATCCAGACGGACGATCCGAGCATCCCGGATGACGAGGATCTAGTGTTTGCCGACGTTTTAAGACGATTGCTTGAAAAGGATCCAGAAAAGCGCATCACGATAGATGAGCTTAGAGTGCGTCCCTTTTCCGATCACAAGGACATTGTCTAACGTCTCGCAGGAACATCCGTGGATTACAAAAAATGGTACAGAGGGCCTGCTTTCTCGAGCAGAAAACTGCGCGCACAAGATTGAACCCCCAAATGAGCTTGAAATCAGCCAAGCATTTACGAGCAAGTTGGACAATGCCTTTGCTGTTCTTAAGGCCATCGACAAGTTCAAAGCGCTTCTCTCAGACCGACGCTCAACGACGCCCACTGTCACGGCGGCGGTCGAGGAAGCCACCTTCGACCCGGCCGAGGAGAAGGCCCGCGCCGAAGAGATCGAGCAACTGCTCGCGCAAAGGCGGCAGGTCCTCAGCGAGAGAGCTTGGCCTAGCCACGATAGCAGCAACGATGATGGCACCCCGGATAGCGAGGGCGAAGGGCATACTAAAGACATTGGCGATCAGGATCCGCTCTATTTGGGTATCGGCACAGGCTCTGGACAAGCCTTCAACGTCGACGAGGAGACGGGTGATGTCGTTGCCGATTCGCCGAGCGCAGTGGACTACAACATCTACGACCGAGCCTACGAGCAGGCCATCAAAGACCGGCTGGAGGCGAATCCATCGGCGCCCCCCATCATGTATCTGACCAAGTTTGTTAAAGAGACGGATTACCTTAAGGCCACTGGGAATATCGTCGAGAACGCAATATGTTCTTCCACGGCCATTAAAGAGCAGATGAGCGAAACGGGAGAACACCTCTACGACCACTTCTCATCCCCGTCGACGACCAAGCTTGCCAAGCTGGTGGGCGGGATTGGGCTGTCCGATCCGTCGTCTGCTGGGCCGCCCGCAGAGGTTGACAGTAGCAGGTTGGCGACGATGCTGAAGGCTGAACTTGGCAAGTCCGACGGTGCTGAGAAGAAAGACAGCAAGCCCGCCGAGGCCAAGCCCGCCGACCGACGGGAGCTACCTATCAGGATGATGCAAGATCTCAAAAATCTCAATATTATGCAAGATCTCAAAAATCCGGACTCGAGTAGCGAAACGTCCCGCGAGGAGGAAGACGATAGCAACGAAGCATTCTACAAGTGGCAACAGCATATGCGTCGTCGACGCGTTAGTCTCTCTGGCAGTATCAGCAAACGCACATTTAGCGATCGTAGCGACTCTGACGACTTTGACGACGGCCACCTCGACATCAATGAAATTAACTCCAGTGCCCGTTGCCTAAGGAAGCGAAAGGATCACGAAAGCTTGCTCTTCCAGGACCCGCATGAGCCTCGGACCAACGAAGAACGTGAGCTGACAGTGGCACTGAAGATTGGCGACGAAGAAGATTTGACCAGCATTCTGGAAGACGACTTTCGTGGCATTGCGAAGGGAGATTATGCATGGCTTATGGAACTCGACGAGCTTGGGTACACTTACAGTGAGGTTGCCGCCGTCTTGCTTGAAGAGGCAAGCGACACTCCTTGGATCTTTTTCAAGCCCGCCCCTCAGCACGACCCCATGCTCGTCGTCAATTTCCAGCAGCACCTGCCCGGCTGCGTTCATCAGATTCCTTGGCCCTCAAAACATGCAGATGAAAATTGGCAAATATCTGCCAGCGGTCAATCGAATAGACAGTCCGACGCTATCTCGCAGATCCAGACACTCTGCGGCTTGGCAGGTATCAGTCCATCGACGCGGGAGCCGGAGGATTGGAATGGGACAGTCGTTTTTGAAGACAACATGGTCGCGTCGGTGACGTATGCACATGAAAACGTGTCAAGGGTGCTTTTAAAAGTCAAAAATATTCTCGGACTGTTCTTGAACGCACTACACTGCGCTCAATCTGCAGGTCTTTGCTGCCAGTCCTTTACTATCCTTCGACAAGAAACCCGATCATTGGAAACAACTCAAGACTCTGTCATCAATTTATCTCGAGTTGAATTTAGCAAAGCAGAAGCCATCTTAGACGAAGTTGGAAGCATTGCTAAGGGAGAAGTTACGAAGGTTGCAGGTGTATCCGCTACCTTAGCGTTTCTTACAGACATTTTTCCAGGGGAAACTTTGTTTGACTCAGAAAACAGTTGTTTCCTCGACGACCTCCATCGTTGTTGTTTGTCTGCGCAGATTTTGACAGTCGGATTCCTGTCCTATATACAGGCGCATGCTGGACCGCTACATCCATATTTCCTCGACACGCCCACTACTAAAATCAAGCTCTTTGGTTTTAAATCGTTGTCCAACCAGCCAATCATCGAAGTTGCATTACGACGGTTGACTTGTCTTGGTGATATGCTCCAGAGTCCCGTACTTGTTTTCGGTACTGCTGAGTCGCCCACCAAGCGAGGAAAACAAGCGGTCACAGCCAGCGAAGTGAAAGACGATGTTCTGGCTAGTGCCGAAGATTTAATTGACACGTGGGGCCCAGCCCAATTCATTGTAACCCCTAATAGCAACAGCAACAAGAATCACAACAACAGCAGCAGTAGCAATGGCATGCAGCCATCGGCAATCAGCATATGTGGAGGAGTAATCTTTATGGCAGAACAAGTGAGCAACAGGTTTCATTGGAGCAAGCAGGTTTCTCCAGAAGAGTTTTGCCATGGGTTCTTGGATCCCGCGGTGAAGATTAGAATCGGGTCTCCTGTCACCGTCAACAAGACCTGCCAGCTTGATACGAAACGATGTCGAGCTCATGCGACTTCACTCGGGTTTCTGTCGCCATTGGGTACGTATGCACCCGCATGGGCGCTGGCAGAGAAGCAATTTGGCATACAAGCCGGGCAGTACGCCGTGGTGCAAGCAAACGCTGCATATCATCGGTTCCCAGGTCGGACTTTGAAACAATATCGCTTAGAGCAAGGGGACGAAGAGCTAGTGCCCTTCCTAGACGACTGCTGGGCAGTGCAAGTCAGTCTCTGCACGGGGGTGGCGCGACGCGTGCCACTGCGGGAGATGGTGGCCGACCTGCTGCCTATCTTCGCGAACAATTTAACATTTCGCGACGACTATGACAATTGGGTGTGCCTGACAAAAGATAAAGGCATTATAGAAGCCTTCCGGGGCAAAAGTCTCCGGCCGTGGCTGCGGACGCTCTCCCGGCCACACCACGACCTGGTTCTGCAGATGGTTCGACGCATTCTCCACACGCTCAGCGAAACTGGCCTGGATAGGGAGGGAAAGTCGCTGTTGGTCTCATGGCCGTACGAAGACGACACGAGGCACTGTTTCAACGTCGATCTGCGAAAACGCGAGTCATCATGGGCACGCCTCATTGCCGACTGTGAGGATTCGGCCATCTTCGTGTATGCGTCTCGCCACTGCCTTGAGACGGCTGAATATCGCTGCCGCGGCATCGAGACGTGTCCCTGGCGCAACGTGGTTCCACTACTTGAGACGGTTGTCATTATTTCGAGTGCCATCACCACTGTTGCGGCCGGCCCCGTGCAGCTCGTTCCAGGCGACCGGCTGATCCACAAGGAGATGTATCACTTTAGGAAGCTTGGCGACGTGTACTTTGTACGGGCTGAGCAGCCAGATTCTAACGCCGTAGTCAAGCTTGTGCGAAAGCCGAGTAGCATACCCTACAGATTCAAGCAGAGGCTGTTTTCTAAGGCGCAGCTTCTACGCGAGCGTGATACGAGTGCTGAGGCGGGCAATGTGGCCTGGTTTATAGCAGGCTTCTAAATTACTAGAACTAAGCTATATAGTATATATATTATTCTATAATAGAACAAATAGTATAATTTTAAGTATATTAATTTTTAAGAATAAAGCTAATTTTTAAAGGTTTTTCTTTTATTTATTTTTATTTATTATTTTATATTTAGTTAAAACAAAAAGTTAACTTTAACTTAAAATAGTATATTTACTAAATATTTATAATTAAATAATAAAGGTATTTTTAAAAATAAGGACTAGTTATATAAAGAGGTATTATAAAAGTTTAAACTATTATATTAAAGAAGAACTTATTAAAGGTTAATAGAGATATTTATTACATTATATTTATCTATTAAAAAATAATTAATTTATTATATAATAAATAGTTTTTATTTATATTTAAATTTTTTAATAAAAAATT